AAAAAGAATTTACTGACATGAAACCATTTCAGGAAGTAGCGTATGATGGAAAATGATCGGTGATGAAAGAAGTTCAAGCTGCACTGAAGGCATTGGCAAAAGGCAAGGCCTCAAGAATTAATAGAATACCAATTGACGTGTTCCAGCAAACAGATGCAGCCCTGGATGTGCTTACCAGATTTTACCGAGAAATCTGGAAGGCAGCTACCTGGCCAAGTGATTAGAAGAAATACATATTTGATCCCATTCCTAAAAGGGTGATCCAGTGGAATGTAGAAATTATCAAACAGTATCATTAATATCACATCCAATCAAAATCTTGCTGAACATTATTTTTAAATGTCTGGAATAGTACATCATCAGGGAACTGCCAGAGTGTCAGGCTGGATTCAGAAGAGGCTGTGGCATAAGGGGTATGTCAGATGAATCTTGGGTGAAAGGATAGAACAGCAGAAGAATGTCTATTTCTGCTTTATATACAAACACAGTTGAGTGTGTGGGCCATCCTGGGGCTGGCTAACACTGAGAATAATGGGAATCCAGCGTCCTTCATGGTGCTCATGCGAAACCTATACCTCGACTGAGTGCCAGTTGTCCAACCCTATTTACAAATACAGTTCTACTTCCTTTCCAATATAGATGCTTTTTAATTCTTTTTCTTGACAAATTTCCCAGATTGGAAATTGCAGTACAATGGTGAATAAAAGTGAGGAGAGCAGGCATCTTTGTCCTGCCATCTTAGGGGCAAAGCTTTCAGCTTTTCACTGTATATATGTTAGCTGTGAGTTTTTCATGCTGTTAGTCCCATCAAATCGGAACCCGCTCCAAGCAGACCCTCCAGTGGGTTTTCAGAGGCAGTGAGTCTCATGGAACGTGTGACTTTGAGTTGGTAATGCTGTCCCTCACCACCAAGCCATCACGTACCCTCAGTTGCCCTGAAGCATTCCTGATTCAGAGCCTTATGTCCTGCTGGCAGTGTCTGCCCCTGCGTCTCGATGGCCGCGTGTATCCTTATTGAATGGAGAGAGTTGAGTTTGCGTTTCTTTGCAGACCCCACCACTGCAGAGCCAAACATGCTGACTCCTTGCCCAACGCAGCCGTGGATGTTGATGACGAGGCCGTGCTGAACCTCATTGCAGAGTGTGAGTGGGACCTCAGCAACCCTCCTGGGAGTTCCAGCCGAAGGGAGCAGGGTGCGGACTTCCCCAGCTCACAAGGTAGGCTTCAAAGCACGCAGCAGCAGACAGCCAGAGAGCAGCCCTGCTCATCCCGGAGTGTCGCAGGGCGCATTCCAGCATGAGAACCTGGCAAAGTCTGCGGAAGGCTTGGGCTGTAGGATTATGGGAAGAGTCAGTGTTTCATTTAGCCACTCTACTCCTCTCAGAGCACAAGGAAGAAAGGGTTGTGTGGAGCTGAGCTGTGAGGTGAGGTCCCTGAGCTCTGAGAAAGTCCTGTGCCAGGGCCTGGAGCAGGACCTCTGCCTTGACAAGGGCGTCCGAGGACGGCGTGGTGCCTGACCTTCACATGCATAGTCTGGGGAATTTACTTCTCACTAGGACTTACTCATAAGCATCTGTCTTCGTTATTCATTCCCGAGGTGGCCCTCAGAGTTGTTCTTTCTGATAAGTGGAGGCTGTGTTGAGATCCCACTGTGTCCAAGAGCTTCAGGCCACCCTCACCTCCTCCCAGAGCTCCTCAGTTGAAGAAGCCAGACCCAGTTCAGGAAGCCAGGTCTAGAAGAAGGCCCTGTCCCCTCAGCTTCCACTTCTGGCTCCTTGGAGATCTTCCTGTGTCTGGCATCGATCTCACACCATCTCTTGCTGCACACTTAATTCATTCCCATTACGCCAGCTACTGTGTCATCCATCTCATCCAGGGTTTTCTCTTGTGCTGCCCCTCCACCTTTCCAGCATGATGTCCTTCTCCAAGGACTAGTTCCCTCCAGTCATGTGCCCAAAGTATCTCAGGTGGAGATTCAAAATCGTTGCCTCCAAGGAGAAAGTTGGTTCCGCCCTCTCTAAGACAGATCTATTTGTTGTCTTGGTGGTCCATGGTATGTTCAGGACTCTTCTCCAGCATTACAACTCAAAGGCTGTGATTCTTCTTCTGTCATCCTTAGTCATTGTCCAACTCTCTGATACATAGCATCTAACTGCAAAGACTATGGCCTGAATCAGGCACTCCTTAATCTCTAGACTGATAAAATTCCTCTCAGTTCTTGGGAGAGGTCCCTGACAGTAGATTTTCCCAATGCAACTGACCTTTTTATTTTTTCCTGACTGCTGGTGCCAAGAGTATTGATTGTGGAGCTGAACAATCTTAACTGTTAACAACCTCAATCTCTTTTTCATCTATCCTGGTGCTGAGTGAAATATCTCAATCACAAAAGGACAAATAACTGAATTTACATCCTTTTAAATGTGCTGGGACTTGCTTCGTGGCCCAGCTTGGCTGTAATGTCCTAAGAGCATGTGACAGGACTGAGTTTGCCACAGTCAGGGGTTTAGCTGTCCCTGTTCCAATCAGCAGACTGCCAGGTGTGGCCTGTCTGGCTGTCTGTGTACCCATGTCAGAGACAAAGAATTCAGATTCCCATCTACACTTGTGCTTAAATGATTTCTTTCTTTTCTTAAAAAATTATTATTATTAATTTTAATGAAAATTTACACAGATTTTGGATTTCCATTCATTGTTGCACTTTTCTCCCTACCCACCCCTCCCCTGCCCAGTACACTCTTCTCTTTGAAAAGTAAAAGAAAAATTCTTTCATTGTTTTACAATCCCTACCCCCAGGTCTACTCCACTATGCAACCTTCATTCTGGACTCTGGTCATGACAATAATACCTAATCACATATCCCCTTTAAACAGTTATCTCCATTATCTGTTTCAATGCAGTATACATAATTTATTCCATCTTTCTCAGTCTCCCCCAACCCCGATGTCAGTCCTGTTTTACAACAGTGGCACCATGCAGTATTTGTCCTTTTGTGACTGAGATATTTCACTCAGCATAATGTCCTCCAGGGTCACCCACTTTGAATAATATTGTATGAGTTCCTTGGTTTTCAATGCAGCCTAGTATTCCATTGTGTGAATATATCACAGCTTCTCTAGCCATTCGTTTGTTGATGGGCACTTAGATTGTTTCCAACTCTTTGTTATTATAAACAAAGCAGCAATAAACATGGGTGTGCATATATATATATCTGCTTGGGTGGTGCTTATGGTTTCTTTAGGGTATATTCCCTGTAGTGGAATTGCTGGGTCAAATGGTTTCTCTATTTGCAACTTTTTGAGAAAGCACCATACCGCCTTCCACAGTGGTTGCACCATTTTACACTCCCACCAACAGTGAATAAGGGTTTTCGTTTCTCCACAACTTCGCCAGCATTTGTTGTTTGCTGCTCTTTTAAATTTTGCTATTCTTACTGGGATGAGATGATATCTCATAATTTCTTTGATTTGCATCTGTGTTAGAGCTGGGGATTTTGAACATTTCTTCATGTGCTTTTTGGCCATCTGAATGTCTTCTTTGGTGAAGTGTCTGTTCATATCCTGTGCCCATTTTTCTATTGGATTATTTACCTTTATCTTGTGGTGCTCAAGTATTTTATAAATTCTACATATAAGTCCCTATCTGACATGTCATTTCCCAGTCCGTGGCTTCCCTTTTTGCCCTGTTGAAGAAGTTTTTTGATGTGCATAGGGATTTGATTCCTAGTAGCTCCCATTCATCTATTTTATCCTCTCCTGGTTGTAGATAAATGATTTATTTCTAAACTTAGCATTTCACTATGTGGTGAATCTCTGATATTAGTTCCTGTGTGTGTTGTTGTTAGGAGCCTTCGAGTCCAGTACGACTCATAGTGACCTGTGAACAACAGACCTGAACTCTGTCCTGTCCCATGCCAACCTTATAGTCTCTGACACACTTGAGCCCATTGCTGCAGGCACTGTGTCAGTCCATCTCCCTGAGGGTCTCCCTTTCTTCCCTGACTCTCCACCTTTTCAAGCCTGAAGGAAAAGCTCTCCTTCAGCATGCCCAGAGGGTGTGAGGTGAAGCTTTATTGTCCTTGCCTCCAAGGAGCCCTCTGACTGCACCCTCCCTGAGACGCATCTGTGTGTTCCATCACAGTATTTTGCTTTGTCTTCTCAAGCTGTCCTTTGAAATCTTCTGGTCAGCCCTGCATGTTGAAGATGCTTTACCTCCTTGATAAAAGACACTTTATCATCTGGACCCTTCATCTCTGCTCTTGCTCCTCACCATGTTCTTTTTTGTTTTAATTTTGTATTGGTTTCCATACAACCATTCAAACATTCATTCATTCACACATGTCATGTTTCTTTCATATACATTGAATTTTATACAATCATTCATATACATTATTTTTATTGGTTTGCTTACAAAGGTCATATACATTGTGTTTTACACTATTTTGCATTCATGTTATATTTTGTATAATTATTGTATAATCATTCTAATCTGTTTTATAAAATTAATCACCATTACACCTTGCCCATAATTTTCCTGTTTTTTCACCCAGATCCTTCCTATTTCCTTCCCCCATATCTCCACCCACCAAGCTGTGCAATCCTTGTATAAAATTTTGTAATATGAGTTTCAGCCTCATTTCTGTCCCTAAGGCCATTATTTTCCAAGTGCAAGTCCTCTTGCTTTGTTTCCACTTTTTGCATTCTAGTCACCTATTACTGTTAATGCATCTTGATTGCATATTTGATCTATTTCATACTGCAAAAAATTGCTAAAATCCTCAATTTCTTCATTTTTGGCTTTAGTGGTTGGTGCGTTCCTTTAAATAATAGTTCTTTCAGGAGGTCTTCTCTGTGTATGTGTGGGTAGATTCCCATCACTCACAGCATTGTACTTAAGGATAGATATTGAAATGCTCTTTTTGATAATGAATGTGACACAATTCCTCTTTTATTTTCGTTCTCAGTGTAGTAGATCATGCAAGTAGCTTTGGATTTGGAAGGGCCAATACCCCTCTATCTCAGCTCACAAATGTCTAGGATGTTGGTCTCTATGCGCTCTGTTTCATTTTTACAGCTTCCCATTGTCCTGAGTCTGTGCTTTGAACCGTTCCCATTCCAGTGCTGTGTGAGTGTGTGCAGCTGTTTGTCCTCCTCTGAGCTGTGGCAGTCCAGCGGCCAAAGGCCTGCGCGTGGGGAAGCGTGTGTCTTCCCTCTGAGCTGTGGCAGTCCATCAGCCAAAGGCCTGCGCTTGGGGAAGTGTTTGTCCTCCTCTGAGCTGTGGCAGTCCAGCGGCTGAAGGCCTGCGCGTGGAAGGCCACACTCCATCTGCATCCTCCAGGTGCTTTACTAGGAGGAGGGAGATTCTGAGCATCTTCCAACCCGAGGGTCTCTTGTCTTTTAGCTCTACGTGGAACTTGTTCTGCAATACAGAGGGTTTCCAGGGCCTGCTGTTTCACAAGTAGGTGGCCAGTCCTGCTTTTCGTCTGTCTTCTTCTGGAAGCTCCACTGAGACCTGTCCACCATGGTTGGCCCTGCTGGCATGTGAAATAACTGGAGACATAGCCTCCAGTGTCACAGCAGCCTGCATGCCGTCACTGTTCAGCAAGCTTGTGCTGGCATGGTGGGGTCTGTGGAAGGAGTAGCAGTTAATAAAAATAAAGAAAGAGGTGTTGCATTGGGCAAATTTACTGTCATGGACCTCTCTATAGTGAAAGATGTCAGTTTCAAGACTAAGGTGCTCCCTACTCAAGCCATCACATTTTCAGTCACGTCAGATACATATGTAAGTTGGATAATAAATAAGGAACACCAGAGAACTAGTGATGCTTGCGAATTGTGGTGTTGTCTAGGAATATTGATCATACCTTGGGCTACCAGACAAACAAACATGTCAGTTTTGTAAACAGTGTCCCCAGGAAACTCCTTAGAGGCAAGGATGGTGAGACTCCTCACACGCTTGAGGAGGTTACCCAGAAGGGTCAGTTCCTGGAGAAAGAATAATAGAAAAATAGAAGAGGGGAAGGTGTCAAGGAAGTGGACTGACACACGGCGGCAGTGGTCAGACATCACTGAGATGGTGAAGCTGGAGCAAGACTGGGCAGGATTTCCTTCGGGTCTGTTCATTGGCACCTGATAGCATCCTTAGAGACTGTTACACTGCTTGTCACGTGATACAAGGAGCTTTTACCAGCGTGCAGGTGTGTGCCACTTCATGTTTGCTG